AGTAGATTCTTGTCTTCTATTGCTATGTTGGGTCTAGGGGAACTATTTTCAAAACTTGTCATTGGTGTCCCCTACGAACCTCCAGCTCTCACCGTAGAGTCTGCAGAGCCGAGATTGAGCAAATTAGTCCTCAATTCGATGAGAATTCCCAATCGCTTTCGCCGTCTGTATCGTCTTCATCCCTAAGCACGTCCCACTAACACAGTTATCATGAAGCTAACCACAATTAGATCAGATGGTAGGGTCGTGTCGGAGATATCACGCAATGTAATGGGCGCAATATTCATGGAACGAAAGTAGAAGTTAACTAAAGGAGTGTCATGTTCGGATAACAGCTAAAAGCGTGAGAAGTGTGCGCTACAAGTACAAGTGTAAGCGACACAGAGCCTAAGCCACAGCATAAACGAGTGTGGCGCCATCTAGGCGTAGAAAACCCCCCAATAACCTCCTTGCGCCCACGCCATACAGCCGCTCATGTATCCAATAGGTAGCCTGAAGCGCTACCATATTACCTATTCCAACCTCTTACATACACACAAGATCGTGTCGGGAACCTAGACGAAATGGAGAACCCATACATCCACAACACTCCGTGTCTCCATTTCCAACAGGTCGAAGCCCTTCTCATCACTAACTCTTGATCATGAAGGAGATGCCATCCGATGAGTTTCCGGAGCGTACCCTGAACCCGATACGGAGATGGTGGATTGGATCAAGTCGACTCCGACTGTTACAAAGAAGGGAGATATAGATGAATATGCGGACCTCATGTGGTCCCGGTGTCTAGGCCTCGTCTAGCTGGGGCAGCAGGTTTTTTGAGACTTTTTCCCGGGCACGCAGTTTCCATTTCCTCCTTTTTTTGGGCAGAAGGTTCCGTGGAAAAGGTGGCCGAATTACACGGTTAAATACTGAGCGGAGTGGCTATTCATCATAGAAAATATATCTATGATCTTACAAGTGACAAAAGAGGCAAGGAGCACTGGACAAGGTGTGGCCTGAGTCAGGGAGGAGCTCATTGTGTTTTTTTTTATAATTCATTTTATTGTCCTATCTGAGTCTATGACTATATAGAACATGCAGGTCCTCTCTGCCTACAGGCAGAGGATACCTATTATACCAGTAGTATATCCCCTCCTATGCCTCCCACACAGCTCCCCTCACAAGTTCTCATCTGATCATACACTTAGAGAATCCTTTGCCCTTCATTATCTCCCCTCTCCAGCCAACGAAACGATGGCAATATGCGGGTGTATGGCAGCCGGGAAAAATTGCAAAAACCACTGAGTACGGGGCTCTCCTAATAACGACATTAGGGCTAGATCCGAAGACACAGTGACCCTACTAAAGCGTTCGAAGAGGCCGGCCAGCTGGGTGCTGCAGACTTGTGGGCACCTCGGGAAATTCACACTCTGCCTTTCCAGCCTCCTTCCAACTCCTTCCTGAAGGTCATGATGAAATGTCAGAAAAGTCTTGACAGAGCGTGGTTGCTGTAAAGTAGCTTAGCCCAACTTCTTTTTGTTGAAAAGTAGACGAAGACTACCCATCTTCGATCGCTACCAGCTTTGATGAGGGCTCGGTTGGTAATGATCTCGGTCGTGGGAATGTTATTCCATCACGTAATCAGTACATAATGTTTCTACCTAAGCGAGGTAGAACAGTGATAGAAAATTAGATGCAGATAAAGCTCTAACTCTGTGGACTAAATATCAGTTCAGTAAAACCAAAAATCTTTTATCTCTGATCCTTAAATCCCCAATATCTTGCGATTCGTATAGTATTGACTTGATGGTCAACGTTCACTTCTATCATTCTAGATACCCCCTAGAACTTTAATACTTTTGTGGCGTCCAGGGCGCTGGGGAGTGCCGTTGACTCATCGACAAAAGAAGCCCTCCTGGCTAATTTGCCGAAATCTCGGTCTCGGCGCCCACAAACGTTCCAAGTTGAAAAATCTGCGAAAATATCAGTCCAAGCATGGTCTTCAGAGATCTGTCTCCCCTCTCACTCCACACCTCAGAAGCCTGTCCTCCCTCAAGTTGTTTGTCCCATTAGAGCAACAGTCTCCCAGAAGCCAAGACCCAGGCTTTGTATCTTTCGACTTCATTTCCCCCTTGCGGTTACGAATAGCGTCGTGAATATATAGTGAGAGAAGGCTGAAAATTAATGGGGCAAGCTCATGTATGCAATTGGAGCAACTTCTTTTTCGGTCGTTGAGGCGAAATGATGTGTGATTAGAGAGAGGTTGAGGGCTCGGATGAGTATGGTAAGAGAGTATCACGGATCGGAGGGCAGGTGCTGGAGCAACTGTGTGGTTGATGGTAGTAGATAATATTTCTAAGGAGAGAACTTTTACAGGATCGATCTACACATGTATAAATACAAAAGAGCCTCATGTTTTACGACGTCATTGCGCTATCAATTGAAGAGGTTGTGGCTGATCTCGTACATCCCCAGCCGATGGCTTCTCACCAACAAGTGGTGCAGTGTTGAGCTGCACTGTTGAATCGGATGCTATCACATTCCGATGCTCAGATATTAGATCGATCCATTGAGGTTCCTGATGGATTAGTATGTGTGAAAAGTGAGATAATCTTTAAGACGGCGTAGGTTACGGGTGTGTGTGTGTGTTTTATTGTACTACTTGATTCTATGACTATCTAGCACATCGGGCTCCTCTCTGACCCAGGCCACACCTTGTACAGTGCTCCTTGCCTCTTTTGTTACTTGTAAGATCATTGATATATTCCCCTTGATGAATAGCCATTCAGCTCAGTATTTACCCGTGGAATTCAGCCACCTTTTCCACGGAACCTTCTACCCAAAAAAAATAAAAATGGTAGCAATGGAAACTGCGTGCGCGGGAAAAAGTCTCAAAAAACCTGCAGCCCCAGCCAGGCGAGGCCTAGACACCGGGACCACATGAGGTGCGCATATTCATCTATATCTCCCTTCTTTGTAACAGTCGAGGCCGACTTGATCCAATCCACCATCTCCGTATCGGGTGCTGGGTACGCTCCGGAAACTCATCGGATGGCATCTCCTCCGTGATCAAGGTTTGGTGATGAGTAGAGCTCCGACCCTACCATCAGATCTGATCGTGGTTAGCTTCATGATAGTGGTAATAGGGGAATGTGTTGAGAGATGAAGACGATACAGACCGCGAAAGCGATTGGGAATCCTCTTCGAAGTGAGGACTTTGTTACTCAATCTCGGCTCTGCAGACTCTACAGTGAGAGCTGGAGGTTCGTAGGGGACACCGCTGACAGGTGTTGAGAATAGTCCCCCTGTAGGTTACGGGTGTCTCGTGGCTCCAAACTACCAATGTGTATAGTAGAGCTTAAGACTAGATGTAACTTGATTTTCTATTAATACAGGGTATCGTCTATATGAGTACAGTATTCCTTATCTTGCGCCTAGACTCCAACGTGAACAACATCGAATAAGCATTACAATTTATCAGAGCCTCGTAATAATCTAGGGGTCTGTCAATCTTGGATCCTCACCATCGTGCGCATACTAAATCGGATGCGATTCTTCTCGGCTATCCCAAATATGCAGAGCATACTGAGCAATCACACCGGCACCACTGGAAGGTGAAGAATTCGTCTTTGCCGGCAGTTAAATACATATATATATCGGTAATGGATCTGAGAAACCTTTAACCTGCATTTGAGATATAGTCATCCGCTAAAATTCTATTGTGAAATAAATGCTAACGCACATCAAACTTTCAGCGAGGAATGTGTTGTGACTATAATATGGGGTGGAGAATTTGATAGTCCGAAGTCGCGGTTTCAGGAAAGAAAGTATAGACAATCTGTTGGAAATACAGTTTCCTGCTTTTCTATCTATCGACCAATGTGGTTGCATGCGTCTTGTCTGAACTATATTTCTGAGTTCAATCAAAAGCCCATACTTCTGATCCAATCGGACTCAACATTTGAGTCTGCTTGAAACCCATTCTTCGCGAACAAATCCAGTCATTGGTTTGTTCGTATTTTCTATTGCATGACCCAGTATTCTGAGTCAGTGGATAATTCTTTTCTGGTCTGGGATCCCACTCATTTCTGCAGTCGAGTTGGTTCCGGATAACCCCTCTTCCTTCTAATTCCACTGTATATATCATAATACCTGTAGCCTATTAGTCAATAAAGCAAACAGAACTTCTTCTCCGTTCTCAGGCAATTCTTATTCCGAAGTCTTCTCTACACTCTAACACAATCTTGAAAATACCGTATGATAATTACAATTCTTAAACATTGTTGCAGCTAGACTACAAATATATATCCACTTTGAGATACTCCCCTCCCATATGGTTCCCCTATGACTAGAATAGTATGGAATCTTCGACGATTCCCTAGAAGATTCTCAATACGTCTGTCATCCTATTGAAACTTCATTGTGATTCAAGAAGGTTCATTGGGAATCTTCTAGGCTCCCTGTATTCCGAGATCCTTCCCGAAAATCCCCGCAGATTCTTTTGGTGTCACCGCCTGCGCTAGCCAGCGTAAGCTACAGGAATCCTTAGGCTTAGCAGCCGTTACATCTAATTAGCCAGACTCACAAATTAGTCAGTATTGACATTCCAAGAAAGATTATATTCCACAAAACATTGGTGAACCCTAGTACCTTTCCATGGCTGAAACCGTGCAACCCATTGCCTGTACAAGATTTCCCGGTGATTTGTTTACAGAAAGTGCGCTTTATACGACAAAACCGAAATCCACCGCTTGATGGAGAGGAATCTTCAGCAAAATACCGCCGTGGCTTATCGAGTCGTGACAATGACTCCATTCTGATTGATCTGGCAACGAAGGGAAGTTTGAAAAGTCTATCGGTCTGAAATCTTATACATATAAAGCTATCACTAGCTATTCCTCAGATTTCACCAAGCCAGTGTTCTTCATCTTCCCATCCACGCCCACTTGACACACTCTCTCTGCAGCCCTGTTGATCCAGCCTGTTACTTCCCGGGCCAATCGACACAGGCTCGCAGCAAAATGAAGTTTTTCTCCATCGCTGCCGTGGCGTTCCTTCTGGATATTTCAGTCTCATTTGAATTGATTGATGATGATAATGCATCTAGAAATAATCCCCAAATTCCTGTTCTTAACTCGAAATTCGGGATGAAGTGTCATACAAATAACTTATACAATGCAGAGACTATCAAACAGAATGTTGATGAAGCGCATAATAATGTCCGATTTATTACTCAACTGGAACAGGGCAGCTTTACCCGTTTTCCTGGAGTAGTTCTCTACAGTTACTTCATAGGAAAAAGTTACGTTGCAGAACAAGGTCATAATTACACATCTGTCTCTTCATCATTCGCGGCCCGCTAAACTTTTGCTAGTTTATTACGCCTCCAATTACATCATTATCGACTCCTCCGGTGTGTTTGTGGCCGGGATGATATCAATCCCAGACAATGACAGAACGGCTTACAAAGTATGTAAGTTTACGGAGGGAACTGAATACGCCACTTATAGACAACTATGACAAATCTACACATTTGGCAATCAACCTTATAATGGGTCTGGGCTTGAACAAACTGGCCCTCAACTACCTGTATGATCTCATATAGACCGTTCATATTAATTAGTAATGAAATCTAACCCACTACTTTTTGAAATTTATTAGTAAAAAGTGGCTTAAAATACTCAGAGAAGAGTGATGATAACATGCTACAGGCTGTGGCCTTGTATGTGGATCCAGAACTATCCGGCTCCGTCTATGAACAAAAGCGCGCTAGTGTCACGGGAAAACGCGCTCGATTGGAACAAAACATCTTGCGCGCGCTTCGTAAATATAGTCACGGCTTGAGAAGGAAGGCAAGTATCGCGTTGGTGGTGTAAGTTGACGCTGGGTATCTAAGACTACGAGATGGAACGAGGTATGTACAGTAGGCAGATATGCACGTGCCAAGTGGCACGTGGCATGTGAGACCGGCGGTGAGGCCAACGGCCGTAACTAATATTCTCCTCTTTAGATAAAATATAAATTCATCTTTGGACCCATATTTGTGAACAACAAATGTGAAGTCCCTTCACAGAACATGACTATTACCCCAAACACAGGCATTAAAATCATTTTAACCCTAGTAGGTAGGCCATATGACATTTCCTGACAACGGCAGCAAATGAAACACGGACAAGGTAGACCACTTGGGGCCTTTGGGAAAGAAATTAGCAGATATGCTCGGTTTAATAGAGCTCGAATCACTAGATAAAGCAAGTTATCGACTTTTATGCTTGTTGTCGACTCTCTGTATGTACGTCTGTTAGCACAGATATTGGAAATAATTCATGAGATTGCTTAATGAGAGGCTACGATTGATTCCTATATAATTTTGGTAGAAGACTTGTCCCAACTATCAGAGGGCTACAATGTCTTTATCTATCTACAGGTAAATTCCCCATATTCCAACCACGCTAGCCATACAGGATGTAGCTATTAAAGGTCTAGGGGGTATCTGGACTGATAGAAGTGAACATTGATAGACAAGTCAATACTGTATGAATTGTAAGGTATTGGGGATTTCAGTATCAGGGATAAAAGATTAAGATTGGTGAAGTTTTTGCTTTTAATAAACTCATATTTTAGTTAAACGTGTTAGGCTTTTTCACCTACATCTAATCATCTATGTTCTACCTCGCTTAGCTAGAAACATTGTGCTCTGATTACGTAATGAATGTCATTTCCACCACCGAGACATAACCAAAACTGATAGAACTGGTAGCAATCGAAGATGAGTAGTCTTTGTCAACTCCGCATTGCGTGCAGTTCGGTCTAGTATGTCTAGATTTAACAAGACCCCCCACAAACTCCGAGGCAACCGTTTACAGTGATGGTTCTGGGGCTTCAACCGACAGAGTGTCATGGGCCTTTGTGACCTTTATCAGTGGCACAGGTACGACAATCGAGCAAAGTGGCTCAGGCAAAATTACCAATGCGGAGGTCTACGACGCAGAGGTTCATGGAGCTTTGGCTGCTATAGAAGCAATTACTGCCAGCAATCGAGATCGAGGACGCAGCGCTATCTACATCCTTCTCGACAATTCTGCGGCTGTTCAGGCTTTACTGACGGGAACAACGGGCTCATCATCCTGGCGTATCCAAAAGTTCGTGAAACTGGCCGCGGGATCAGCCGCACCTATAAAAAAGGATGGATTTCGGGCCACGAAGGGCTGGCAGGAAATGAAATCGCCGATGAACTCGCTCGAAGAGAGCTTAACTCGCCGGACAACTCTAGGACGACACATGGTGTGATGACCCTCGCCTCATCAGGACGGAAAGCCCATGAAGTGGCCAGGCAGATGTTGACGGACTGGTGGCACTTGAATCGCCCCAAACACTACGCCGATCTTGAACTCGAGATGCGGCGCAAGAAACCGCCAGAGCTAGCGCTACCTAGAGCGGTCTTTGCACGCTTGATCGCTGCCCGAACTGGACATGGAGACTTTGCGGCATATCATCGCCGCTTCAATCACGCTGACGCTACACTTAACTGCGAGTGTGGGAGGGAAAACCAATTGGTCACCTTGTCCAGTGTTGAAAAGCACTGGCAATATGGCGGCTGAAAAGCGGAAAGCGTAGGGCGCCGGCTCTGGAAACAATGCTTGGATCAAGGGGATGGCAGCTGTTCAGGGACTACGTCCAGGAGAGTGGAATATACGCGGAGGCTAGTCGGGGGATGGCAGGGATACCTGTGACTCTGAGGTGATAGATCGAAGGCCTAGGTGGTTTGGCATGGACAGAGAGATTGGAATCGAGGCTCAGGCGCGTGGTGGCTGAGGCGGAACGATGGAAGGGAGATTGTTGAAGTTTTTCTTTTGTAATGCGGGATTTCGCGAGAAAGTTTTTGTTTTGTTTTCAATTCTGGGCTGCCGAATTCGTCATGGTTCAACACATAGATGCATTTTGGCATGGTTCCGGTCATTAAGGTGGGACGAGGCATTTGTACTGCACGGTAGTTAACCTGATCCGGCCCGACCCCACTCGTGCTCAAGCTCCAGTAGGAGTGCGACGGTAGTTACTTCACCTAGCACGTCAATGAACAAACAAAACGCACAATCCGAGAATTTCGAAAATTCGAATATTCCCAAATTCCCGATTTCCCTTCTCATGATTATTCCTGTGCTTGAGTTCTCGAATTGATGACCATCGAAAGGCGTCCCAAAATGCCTCCGATGAAGAGCAAACGGCCAAAGTCGACCATTTCTGTCGGCTTTGAACGGACACACATGTGTCCAAAACCTCCTGGCCTCGCGCAAAAATTATCAAGCTTATTTGCGAGTGAGGCCTTTGTCCCAGGGAAGTCTTCTACCCTTCCCGACCAAGAGATGACTGATTCTGATCCGATCAGAACAGAAACGAACAGTCAACAGACTGCGAAACCCGCCGAGCTGGCCCTCGAGGCAAGCAGCTCCAGGAAAGAAAAGGAGGTCGTCAGAGAAAGGAAGACCGAACGTGCAGAATCGTCTGCCGGAAAAAATGCTGTGCCAGCCTCAAAAGGCGCAGCATCGACATCAGCTATGGAGTTTCCTCCGGAGCTGCAAACCGTGATGGAGGCCGAAAAGCGACCTACGACGCAAATTACGGCCCACCTCGCCATCTGCTCGACTGCGATAAACAGTGTTGAAGCAGCACTTTCGCCTCTTTCGATCGGCGAAAATAAAGAATTCGTAGACGGTATAAAAGTCTACCTACGAGCAGCTATTGGTCAGTTCGTTCCATCCGGTCCAGGAAGCACACCACCAGTCCTTCCTGCCCGCCCCGTCAACCCTCTCTCACCGAGGGCTCCAGAAATTAGGGCACCTAACTCTACGAAAACCAAGGCTCCGGCCCCAAAGACAACTTGGGCCACCGTAGCTCGGGTAGGCTTAGTCAGCAGCGCTGGGTCATCGACAAAGAAGGCAGCACCGCCCGCCCAGAAAGCAAAAAGTGCCAACTCTAGTGGAAAAGCCGATTCACGACTTTTTCTGCGCCTTGACTATTTCCATCCCCACCGTCTCCTTTCTCCAGCTGGAGTAAGGCTAGCGGTGTCTCAGGCGCTGGGAACCGCTGCCAACAATATCACGTTGGTTCAGCGGGTAAAGACCGGCTTTGCAATAACCGCAAAGGATGAACTCGCTCGAACAGAGCTCCTAAATTCCTCCACATCACGGAGCGAATCTGGAATCAAACTGGAACCAGCATCAAATCTGGTTGCCATGCAAATTGCCACCGTCCCGGAGACAATTCGAACTCTTGCTGGCCCAATTGCCGTGACGGCAAAGATGGTTGCCGACGAAGTCACACGAGTGACCCAGTTGGTTCCCTTTCTGGTTCGTCCTCATGGGACTAGCAAACCAGGGGCGCCCTACTCAAATTGGCAAGTGCTCTTTCCCCGAGAATCCGCTCCTCGACCTGAGTTCCGCCTTTTCGACGACTCTGGAGCTGCAAAGCTCTTCCGACCTCGTCGCAAAATCGAACAATGCAAACGGTGTTGTAACAGTTCCGATAAATAAAGCTTGGGCGTTCATATGTCGAAAGGTAAGTTTATTTACTAACTGAAGAACAAGACTACTGCTACACTCAACGCCCTATTTATATACATGATTCCAATATTTCAAACACTAGTCTTTGTCCTCTAGTCCGGCTCCCACTATTAAAGTGTGGGCTAGTTACCAACGATGTTTCGTGCACGGGGAGTACCAGACTCTTAATACCAACGTATCTTAGCGCTGAGGTAATAAGTATGCATGAGATGAATATCACAGGCTACAGGCAATCTACCTGCTTACTAGCCGTCACATTGCCCCTTCCGTTTTTTTTTTTTTTTTTTTTTTTTTTTTTTTTGAGAGGCATGTGACCTAAATATATAAAAAAAATTTAATTAATTTTTTTTTTTTTTGTCGCTGACGCCGCTTTTGCATCGTATTCTTTTCAGCTGGACCAACAAATCTTCCCACGATTTCCTCTAGAGGTCCATCATTATTTTCAATCGAACCATAAAGTTCTTCGAACTTATCTAAGGCTTCAGTGTCTTCTATGAATTCTATTGGCTCCCATGTTGGATCCACTTCACTAGCCCACTTCACTAGGGCTTGCCGAAATACCCCTCGTCCACGTCTCACTGTTCTCGCTCGAAGAATAGATTCGACAACAAATTCTTCATTACCCAGCTCATCGACTATAGGAGGATTCTGGGCATCGTCCCTTACTTGGCTTGGAAAAGGATCTATGCCGGCTCGTTTAATTAATTCCACGTGGAATCTTTTGTGTATATTACCAGGCACGTTGAGTTCCACAGTCAGTGCATCAGGTACTCCCGTTACAGTATACTTAGCGTGTTGCCAAGCTAACTTTTTTGACAGCTGAGGAGTTTTAATGTGCTGTAAATTCAACCAGACTTTATCCCCTATTCTATATTGCTCGGGCTGTCGACGTTGAATGTTACCGTTCAGCTCGTTCCGCTGCTGGGCCGATGCCATTGCTGCTTGTGCAAATTCTTGCGC